TCAGGGGGCTGAACTACCCAATCAGGGGGCTGAACTACCCATTCAGGGGGCTGAACTACCCAATCAGGGGGGGCTGAACTACCCAATCAGCGGGATGAACTACCCAATCAGGGGTGAATTAGGCAGTTAAAAACAATAGCTTCGTTCGGTGTTTCAATTGTTAAGTGGAAGATTGTTCATGTCCCTCCCTCCCTCCTTCCCTCCTTTTCTCCCTGACTCTCCCTCTTTCTTTCTCCTTGAATCTCCCTCCCTCCCTCCCTCCCTGACCCTACCTCCCATTCTCCATGACTCCCTCTCCCTCCCTCCCTTTCTTCCTGACTCTCCCTCTCTCCCTCTCTCCCTCTCTCCCTCTCTCCTCTCCCTCTCTCCCTGACTCTCTCCCTGACTTTCTCCCTGACTCTCCCTCCTTTCCTGATTCGCCCTCCTTGACTCTTTCTCCCTCCTTCATTCTACAACACTTCCTCCCCCCACCTCCACTCGCCCTCCATCACTCCAACATTTTTCCCCCCTCACTCACTCGTTCTTCAAGACTCTCCCTCACTTTCTCTCCCTGACTCTCTCTCTCTCTCTCTCTCTCTCTCTCTAACACCCTCCCACCCCCCTGCCCCTCCCAATACCCCACCCCCTCCCCCTCCCCCCTCCTTGAATTATGCAGGCGGCCGCGGCAGAAGAAAAAGTCGGTTTTATTTGTGCTGGTTTACGAGGCTGTTAAGGGTGCGACTCAGCCAGAGGCGGGGGACGAGTTACTGCTGCCCTCCTCCCCCTCCTCCACCCCCACCCCTGCTGACCGGCCCCTCCGGCTCTGCCCCACTCCATCCCGCCCCCTCCCCTCTCTTCCCCTCCCCTCTCTACCCCTCGGTACCCTTCTCCTTTCAGTCATTTCCCTTCTCTCTGCCCCTCCCCTCTCAGTCCCTGCCTGTCCCTCTCCACTCCCCTCTTTTTCCCTCCACTCTCTGTCCCTCTCTACCCCCCACCATTCAGTCCTTTTCCTCTCTGCCCCTCCCTTCTCCGTTCCACTCAGCCCCTCCTCTTCTATTCCCTCTCTTCCCCTCCCCTCACTCTCCTACACCTTTCCCTCTCTTGCACCATCGCCTCAGGGGAAGGTTAGGTGACGTCCCCACCTGCTGCCTCTTGGTGATACATGATACCTTTTGGTGATACATGCTGCCTCTTGGTGATACATAATACCTCTTGTTGATACATTCTGCCTCTTGGTGATACATGCTGCCTCTTGGTGATACATGCTGCCTCTTGGTGATACATGCTGCCTCTTGGTGATACATGCTGCCTCTTGGTGATACATGCTGCCTCTTGGTGATACATGCTGCCTCTTGATGAGGCATTATACCTCATGGTGAAACATGTTTCCTCTTAATGATACATGCTGCCTCTTGGTGATACATGATACCTCTTGGTGGTACATGATACCTCTTGGTGATACATGATACCTCTTGGTGATACATGATACTTCTTGGTGATACATGATACCTCTTGGTGATACATGATACCTCTTGGTGATACATGATACCTCTTGGTGATACATGATACCTCTTGGTGATACATGCTGCCTCTTGGTGATACATGATACCTCTTGGTAATACATGATACCTCTTGGTGGTACATGATACCTCTTGGTGATACATGCTGCCTCTTGGGTGATAAAATGATACCTCTTGGTGATACATGATACCTCTTGGTGATACATGCTGCCTCTTGGTGATACATGATACTTCTTGGTGATACATGATACCTCTTGGTGATACATCCTGCCTCTTGGTGATACATCCTGCCTCTTGGTGATACATCCTGCCTCTTGGTGATACATCCTGCCTCTTGGTGATACATCCTGTCTCTTGGTGAAACATCCTGCCTCTTGGTGATGCATTATACCTCATGGTGAAACATGTTACCTCTTGGTGATACATGATACTTCTTGGTGATACATAATACCTCTTGGTGATACATACTGCCTCTTGGTGATACGTGCTGCCTCTTTGTGATACATGCTGCCTCTTGGTGATGCATGTTGCCTCTTAGTGATACATGCTGTCTTTTGGTGATACATACTGATTTTTGGAGATGCATGCTGCTTCTTGGTAATACATACTTCCCTATGGTGATAATGCTGCCTCATGGTGATACATGTTGCCTCTTGGTGATACATGTTGCCTCTTGGTGATACATACTGCCTCTTGGCGATACATGCTGCCTTTTGGTGATACATGCTGCCTCTTGGTGATACATGTTGCCTCTTGGTGATACATGTTGCCTCTTGGTGATACATGTTGCCTCTTGGTGATACATACTGCCTCTTGGTGATACATACTGCCTCTTGGTGATACATACTGCCTCTTGGTGATACATGCTGCTTCTTGGAATAGATCTTTTATATTTATCGTAGTGGGTGAGGACAGCTAGGATAGATCTGACCTGCAGGAGTAGTGGTGGAAAAGGTACAGGGGGTAGTGGTAGGAGGTAGTGGTATAGGAGATAGTAGATGCAGAGAAGTGATAGTGGTTGGAGGTAGTAGTAGAGAAGGATGTGGTAGATGAGGCAATGTTAGTGGGGTTAGTTGAAGTGGAGGTAGTGGTAGTAAAGAGAAGTGGTTGTGGAGGTAGTGGGAGTAAAGAGTAGTGGTTTTTGGAGGTAGTGTAGTTAAAAAGTAGTTTGGTTGTGGAGGTAGTGGTAGTAAAGAGTAGTGGTTGTGGAGGTAGTGGTAGTAAAGGTACTGGTTGTGGGGGTAGTGGTAGTAAAGAGTACTGGTTGTGGAGGTAGTGGTATTTAAAGAGTAGTGGTTGTGGAGGTAGTGGTAGTTTAAAAAGTAGTGGTTGTGGAGGTAGTGGTAGAAAGAGTAGTGGTTGTGGAGGCAGTGGTAATAAAGAGTAGTGGTTGTGGAGGCAGTGGTAGTAAAGAGAAGTGGTTGCGGAGGTAGTGGCAGTAAAGAGAAGTGGTTGTGGAGGTAGTGGTAGTAAAGAGTAGTGGTAGTGGAGGTAGTGGTAGTAAAGAGTAGTGGTTGTGGAGGTAGTGGTAATAAACAGTAGTGGTTGTGGAGGTAGTGGTAGTAAAGAGAAGTGGTTGTGGAGGTAGTGGTAGTAAAGAGTAGTGGTTGTGGAGGTAGTGGTAATAAACAGTAGTGGTTGTGGAGGTAGTGGTAGTAAAGAGAAGTGGTTGTGGAGGTAATGGTAGTAAAGAGAAGTGGTTGTGGAGGTAGTGGCAGTAAAGAGAAGTGGTTGTGGAGGTAGTGGCAGTAAAGAGAAGTGGTTGTGGAGGTAGTGGTAGTAAAGAGAAGTGGTTGTGGAGGTAATGGTAGTAAAGAGAAGTGGTTGTGGAGGTAGTGGCAGTAAAGAGAAGTGGTTGTGGAGGTAATGGTAGTAAAGAGAAGTGGTTGTGGAGGTAGTGGCAGTAAAGAGAAGTGGTTGTGGAGGTAATTGTAGTAAAGAGAAGTGGTTGTGGAGGTAGTGGTAGTAAAGAGAAGTGGTTGTGGAGGTAATGGTAGTAAAGAGAAGTGGTTGTGGAGGTAGTGGTAGTAAAGAGAAGTGGTTGTGGAGGTAATGGTAGTAAAGAGAAGTGGTTGTGGAGGTAGTGGCAGTAAAGAGAAGTGGTTGTGGAGGTAGTGGTAGTAAAGAGAAGTGGTTGTGGAGGTAGTGGCAGAAGTGATGGAGGGGGGATGGTGGTAGTGACTGGGAGGACCTACTACAGTTATTGTTATTATAATAATAATAATAATAATAATAATAATAATAATAATAATAATAATAATAATAATAATAATAATAATAATAATATAATAATAATAATAATAATATATTATATAATACAATTATTATTATTATTATTATTATTATTATTATTATTATTATTATTATTATTATTATTTATTATTATTATTATTATTATATCTATTATTGCTATTATTATTATTATTATTATTATTATTATTATTATTTATTATTATTATTATTATTATTAGCATTATTATCATGGGGAAGCTTTAAACCTGTTTGTAATATGCAATGGTTGGGGAGCGAGAGATAATCAGTGTTTGATTCGAAGATGAATATCTCCACTTACGGGGATCAAGAGAGAGAGAGAGAGAGAGAGAGAGAGAGAGAGAGAGAGAGAGAGAGAGAGAGAGAGAGAGAGAGAGAGAGAGAGAGAGAGAGAGAGAGAGAGAGAGAGAGAGAGAGAGAGAGAGGATAGAGAGAGATAGAGATAGAGATAGAGAGAGAGAGAGAGAGAGAGAGAGAGAGAGAGAGAGAGAGAGAGAGAGAGAGAGAGAGAGAGAGAGGAGAGAGAGAGAGAGAGAGAGAGAGAGACTGGTGGACGGATGTGACAGGACGAGTCCTCGTGATGAACATCGGTGTATCACTTTGTCTTAAACAGTCGAGTATGTGACGTTGACATACACAGCTAGATGATAGCTGTCTATTTTGAAATAGACATTCCGACATGAACATCTGCCTGTCTGTTATACAAAAGACACTCAGAAGTGATTATCTGACTGTCTAATGTACAAATGAACTGTCCAAAGTGATTATCTGACTGTCTACTGTCTACTGTACAGTCAGCTGGGTGAGTCTCCGTTTTCTGTTGGTGCTTCAAAATCTTCATGTCGATTTATTTTATTTCAATTATTGGCATTGTAATATATTATATTCGATTATATTTTGTTTACAGGGAACATTCTAACCTAACTTAATTTAAGCTAACCTAACTTGAGCCTAATAAACTTAATTTCAATCTAGGTCGACGACTGGTTAAGTGATTCGTCTGGTAGTCGACGATTGTTTGATTATTATGTTACGAAGTCGACGATAGGTTGATTATTATTACGAAGTCGACGATTGGTTGATTATGTTACGAAGTCGACGACTGGTTCATTACTATATTAGGAAGTCAACGAATGGTTGATTATTATGTTAGGAAGTCGACAATTGGTGAGTATTATATCAGGAAGTCGACGAATGGTTCATTAACGAAGGGTCATACTCTCGCCTCAGGTGTGGTTCCAGAACCGCCGCGCCAAGTTCCGCAAGCAGGAGAGGCTGGCGCAGCAGAAGGCGCAGCAGCAGCAGCAGCAGCAGCAGCAGACATCCACCAACAACAACAACAACAACGAGAACAGCAACGGTTCAACAAACACAGCAGCTGGCTCAGCGGCCAGTCCTAACGGGGCTGGGACAGGACCCAAGGTTAGAGCATTATCTCACTCTCATACCTCACACCCTGATTGATAAATTAGACACATGTGCAACTCTTGGGTATCTTTATTGAGGAAACGTTTCGCCACACAGTGGCTTCATCAGTCCATACAAAGGAGAATCTTGAATTCTTCGCTTGCCTAACCCTTGGGCACGACCTACTTCCACATTGAACAAATGTGACAACACCTACGACTGCTGCACCTCTCCTGCCTACGGTTTATAAGCTCCATCTCCGCACTTATGCCGTAGTCTATTCAAGATTGATGGACTGACCACATCGACTAAAGGCTGAGGGACTGATTACCTCATTCTCCTCCTGTTCTTCAAGATTCTCCTTTGTATGGACTGATGAAGCCACTATGTGGCGAAACGTTTCCTCAATAAAGATACCCAAGAGTTGCACATGTGTCTAATTTATCAACTTGTCGGTTCTCTGAACCATTGATCTACAATACCTCACACCCTCATACCTAATACCTCTCACCCTCATACCTAATACCTCACACCCTCATACCTTACACCTCATTTGTTCATCTTGGATCCGAACCTTTGCTTTGAAAGTATTAACTCTGTGGTACTTGAGGTCTGCTCAAGGCACATTACTTTAAGAAAAAGAAAGAAAAGATGTAAACTAGAAAGGCAGAGACCATCCCTTTACAGGCGAAGGCGAAGAATCACAGAGCTGCTGAAAGGGGCCAGTATATCCTAAATACGAAGGGAGACACAGGTCAGAGAAATAGCAAATATCGAATTTAAGTTTTAGGAATCATGCAGGGACAGGAAACTCAGGAAGAACTTAAAGCCATAAATGAAACTGAAAGAAAACCAAAATATTTCTTTACTTATGCCAAATGTAAGTAAGGTAAAAGCAACATCCAGTATTGGACCCCTGCCTAGAGGAGATGGGACTACACAGATGACAGCGAAGTAATGAGTGAGATATTATAGTCCCACTATGACTCAGTGTTTAGTGAGCCTTTAACCAGACTAAGAGTGGACAATCTAAATAAATTTTGTAAGACCGAGACTCAAAATTTGGTTAATTAAAAAATCTGTGATATTATCCTAAAACCACAAGACTTTGAAAAAGCAATAAATGACATGGCCATGCACTCTGCCACGGACCCAGAAATTTGGAGCTCCGTGTTCATCAAGAACTGCAAGAAGCCCCTCTCATGTACGTTTAGCATTTTATGGAGAGGCAGCATGGACACAGGGTCACACAATCACTAAAAGCAACAGACATAGCTTCTTCCCCCCACTCCATAAAGGTAGCAGTAAAGCAACTGCAAAAAACTAAAGACACGTCCCATATAAAAAAAAATCTCTGGAAGGGTTCTAAGAAGCAAGAATGCCACTCTCTCATCCCACCGAGATACCTCATCAGTTGCAAAACCCAGGGCAACATGGGTTTAAAACGGAAGATTCTGCCTATCCCAACTACTGGACCGCTATGACAAGATCTTGGATGCTCTGGAGGAAAAACAAAATGCAGATGTAGTATACACAGACCTTGCGAAAGCCTTCGAGAGGTACGACCTTGGTGTATTAGCGCACGAAATGTGTGATAGAGGAATAACAGAAAAAGTTGGTAGACGGATCTATAACTTCCTAACAAACAGAACACAAAGGGGTAATAAAAAAACAGAATAAAGTCTGAGGCGGCTACAGTGAAAAGTTCTGTTCCACAAAGCACAGTACTCGCCCCCATTCTGTCCCTCATCCTCATATATCACATAGGCAGTACCATGTCTTCCTTTGCGGATGACACCCGACTTTGCATGACAGTGTCTTCTATCGAAAACACTGCTAGACTCCAAGCGGACATCAATCAAATCTTTAAATGGGCTGCAGAAAACAATATGAAGTTCAGTGAAGAGAAATTTCAATTTCTCCGATATGGAAAACTCAACGAAATTAAAACTATATCAGAGTATAAGACAAATTTCAACCATACAATAGAGCGAAAAACTAATATGAAGGTCCTGGGAGTGAAAATGTTAAAGGATCTCACTTTCAAAGATCACAACAATGTACCTATCACATCTGCTAGGAAAATGATAGGAGGGATAATGAGAACCTTCAAAACTAGGGATGCCATGCCTATGAGGATTCTCTTCAAATCGCTTGTTCTCTATAGGCTGGAATATTGCTATACACTAATGGCCCCTTTCAAGGCCGGCGAAATTGCTGCCCTGGAAAATGTACAGAGAACTTTCATGGCACACATAAGTACTATAGAGTGCCCAAATTACTGGGAATGGTTGAAGTCCCTTGACTTGTTTTCCCTGAACGCAGGTGAGAAAGATACATTATAATATACACTTGGAAAATCTTAGAGGGACTAGTCCCAAATTTGCACACGAAAATCACTCTTTACAAGAGTAAAAGACTCGGCAGGAGATGCAATAAGTGTCAGAGGCCCAAAACTGCTCAACTGCCTCCCAGCATACATAAAAGGGAATAGCAATAGATCCTTGGCTGTTTTCAAGAAGGCGCTGAACAGACACCTGATCAGCGGGGCAGTGGTTCGTACGTCAGTCTGCGTGCGGCCAGCAGTAACAGCCTGGTTGATCATGCCCTGATCCACCGCGAGGCCTGGTCACAGACCGGGCGTTGACCACGAAATACTCTCCAGGTATACCTCATTTCCTTACACTATTCATACCTTCACATACCTCACACCTCATACCTCGTATATACACACTCTCATACGTTATACCTCACATCCCTCATATATTCACATACCTCACTTCTCATATCTTGAAATACATCAGAACTCATGCCTCACACCTCATATCTCACATTTCATACCTCACACCTCAATCTAACTCACACCCTCATGTCTCACACCTTAACCTCACACCCTCATACCTCAAATATTAACCCCATACCTCACACCTCAAAATTCACACCTCATACCTCACACCTCAACTCATACCTCACACCTTACACTCTCATGCCTCACACCTTAACCTCATACGTCACACCTCACACTTCGTAATACACACTTCATACCTCACACCCTAATATATCATATACATCACACCTTATATTTCACAACCTATTACCTCACATCTCATACCTCACACCTCATACCTCACACCTCATACCTCACACCCCATACCTCACATATCATACCTCACATCTCATACCTCACACCTCATACCTCACATCTCATACCTCACACTTCATACCTCACATCTCATACCTCACACATCATACCTCACACCCCATTCTTTACACCCTAATACTTCATACATCATACCTCACACTCCATACCTCACACCCTAATACCTCACACTCTAATACTTCACACCTTATACCTCATACCTCACACTTCATACCTCATACCATAATACCTCACACCCCATACCTCACACCCCATACCTCACACCCCATACCTCACACCCCATACCTCACACCTCGTACTTCATGCCTCACACTACATACCTCACACCCTAATAACTCACAACTCATACCTCACACCCTAATAACTCACACCTCATACTTCACACCCTAATACTTAGCACCTCATACCTCACTCCTCACACTCTAATACTTCACACCTCGTACCCACACCTCATACCTCACACCTTAATACCTCACACCCCATACCTTACACCCCATACTTCACAATTCATACCTCACACCCCTTATCTCACACCCTTTACCTCACACCTCATACCCCATACCTCACACTTCATACCTCGCACCCCATACCTCACACCTTATACCTCACACCTCATACCTCACACCTCCCACCACATACCTCACACGCATACCTCACACCTCATACCTCACACCTCATACCTCACACCCTATACTTCACGCCCTCAAAACTCACACCCTCATACCTCACACCCTCATACCTCACATCCTCATACCTCACACCTCATTCCTCGCACCACATACCTCACACCTCATACCTCACACCTCATACCTCACAACTCATATCTCACACCTCAGTCTACACACTTCATACCTCACACCTCATACCTCTCTCCCCTTACCTCACACCTCATATCTCATACCCCATACCTCACACCTCATACCTCACATCCCATACCTCACACCTTATACCTCACACTCTAATACCACACACCTCATACCTCACGCCCCATACCTCACACATCGTACCTCACACCCCAGTCATCACACCTTTATACCTCACACCCCTTACCTCACACCTCATATCTCACACCCCATACCTCACACTTCATACCTCACACCTTTTATCTCGCACCTCATACCTCACACCTCATACCCCTATCTCACACCCCATACCTCACACCTCATACCTCACACCCTATACCTCACGCCCTCATGCCTCACACCCTCATACCTCCACACCCTCATATTTCACACCTCATAACTCACGCTCTCATACTTCACACCCCATACCTCACACCCCATACCTCACACCTCATACCTCACACCCTATACCTCACGCCCTCATGCCTCACACCCTCATACCTCACACCCTCATACTTCACACCTCATAACTCACGCTCTCATACTTCACACCTCATACCTCACACCCTCATACGTCACGCCTCATAACCTCACGTCCGTTTTTACTAATACATAAAATCTTATAATTCGTTTACGTTTTAAATTATTTAGACCAATACACCAGAAACAACAACAAAAACATCATTATTGACAGCTTGTAGCAGCGACTTCTGACAAGCTAAGACCCCGGGTTTAATCCTGGGCGAATACAGACCTTGGTAAATCTTCTTAACACCGGTTGCCCCAAATTACCTAGAAGTGCCTAGCAGTACCTAGCAGTACGTAGCAGTACCTAGCAGTACCTAGCAGTGCCTAGCAGTACCTAGCAGTACCTAGCAGTACCTAGCAGTACCTAGGAGCACCTAGGAGTACCTAGGAGTACCTAGCAGTACCTAGCAGTACCTAGCAGTACCTAGGAGTACCTAGCAGTACCTAGGAGTACCTAGGAGTACCTAGGAGTACCTAGCAGTGCTAGCAGTACCTAGCAGTGCCTAGCAGTACCTAGCAGTACCTAGCAGTACCTAGCAGTACCTAGTAATACCTAGGAGTACCTAGCAGTACCTAAGAATATCTAGCAGTACCTAGGAGTACCTAGCAGTACCTAGCAGTACCTAGCAGTACCTAGCAGTACCTAGTAATACCTAGGAGTACCTAGCAGTACCTAGGAGTACCTAGGAGTACCTAGCAGTACCTAGTAATACCTAGCAGTACCTAGCAGTACCTAGCAGTACCTAGCAGTACCTAGCAGTACCTAGTAATACCTAGGAGTACCTAGCAGTACCTAGGAGTATCTAGCAGTACCTAGCAGTACCTAGCAGTACCTAGCAGTACCTAGCAGTACCTAGGAGTACCTAGCAGTACCTAGCAGTACTTAGCAGTACCTAGGAGTACCTAGGAGTACCTAGCAGTACCTAGTAATACCTAGGAGTACCTAGGAGTACCTAGCAGTACCTAGCAGTACCTAGCAGTACCTAGCAGTACCTAGCAGTACCTAACAGTACCTAGCAGTACCTAGCACTACCTAGCAGTACGTAGCAGTACCTAGCAGTACCTAGGAGTACCTAGCAGTACCTAGCAGTACCTAGCAGTAACTAGGAGTACCTAACAGTACCTAGCAGTACCTAGGAGTACCTAGCAGTACCTAGCAGTACCTAACAGTACCTAGCAGTACCTAGGAGTACCTAGGAGTACCTAGCAGTACCTAACAGTACCTAGCAGTACCTAACAGTACCTAACAGTACCTAGCAGTACCTAGGAGTACCTAGCAGTACCTAACAGTACCTAGCAGTACCTAACAGTACCTAACAGTACCTAGCAGTACCTAGGAGTACCTAGCAGTACCTAGCAGTACCTAGCAGTACCTAACAGTACCTAGCAGTACCTAACAGAACCTAACAGTACCTAGCAGTACCTAGAAGTACCTAGCAGTACCTAGGAGTACCTAGCAGTACCTAGCAGTACCTAGCAGTAC